TTGCTATTGCTATTGCTATTGCTATTGCTATTAATGTTGTTATATTTAATATCTGGAAAAACTCCAAATTCCATAAAGGACTGGATTCAATTTCATAATACTGAAACTCTAGTTAAATAACCAGAGTGAAGAGCATATGAACATGTTGCATTCATTTAACGTAACTGTGTTAAAAACCAAGGTGGAGTAGGGTAGTTATAACTGCCGAGTAAAGGTATGAACAATTTAACTAATCCTTACGCGTATACCTCACCAGTAATGAGTCATATAAAGAAATACAATACCTAGAGTCTACCCTAATCTAATTATGTTAAATTATTGGGCACAATGGAACATATTTGAACAAAATCAGTGAAATATGACTTTAAAATTACTTCATTTTTTCTGTCATAATTTTTAAACTATTGACAGTAATTGCATAAAACAGCCATTTCACTTAGAAGATACTATAGAGCTTTTATTAATTGGTCTGGAAACATTAGTAATACAGTAGAACCTTGGGTCATGAACACTTCTGACCACGACCAAATTGGGTGCCGACCAAAAAATCCGCTAAATATTTAACTCTGGTTGCGAACACATCCTCAGAAGGCAATCAAACACAGCTGCAGCAATTTTCCTGCTGTGGCAATTTCCCGTTCCGCACCATTTTTTTTTTGTACACGCATGCATAGTCAGTCTTGCTTCCGGTCACAAGCAAATGGGATTGCGACCAAAGTCCTAGAATGGATTATGGTCATGACCGGAGGTTCCATTGTAGTAGTTGTAGGTTTTTATTCCTGCAACTGCCCACTCAGGGACAAGGACCAAGGGCTTGTGACTATTTTAATATTTTAATGTTTAAGTTTTATAATTTTAATATGGATTTGTATGTTGTTTTAACTTGTGATTGGGAATGGCCCAGAGATGCTTATAAAATGGGTAGCTATATAAATGTTTTAACTAAATAATAAATTTAACATAAGAATAGGAACTATTTAGCTGCAATCCTACAGTAAAACATCAACACATACACCTGCGTTATATTGTGGATGCTCCTTTTGTTGATTCATTCAGAGTTCCTCTTTAATTCAAATGTTTTGAATTATCTGAATCTCTGGCATGTTCAATTTCAGGGATATGTTTGAACATTGTGACCATAAATGTTACCAATTGTAATACAAAACAAGATTTTAAACTGTCCAACTTCCTTGTTTTTCTTTACTGCATCCAGAGTACAGGTAGTTTGTTAAAACATGTGGATATCTTTATATCTAAATATATGATCTTACAAATAATAAAAAATATACACTCTGGGGCACTTGGAATTACCCCAACCATCTTTAATTTCTATTTTATACATACTTTTTATTAGAGAGTTGAATATAGATAAAAATTTAACAGAAAAACAATAGAAAAAAGAAAAAGTGCAGGAAAACAAGAGAGAGAAAAATATTAAAAAGTATCTTCCAACAGTCACAAACAAACCTATTAGCTCTCCTTACTCTTTAAGATTACATGATTCCCCTTCCCGAATAAAACCCTTTTTAAAATTGGCAAATCTATTAATCACCTTCTCTTCAAATTCCTGGATAGAGAAATATGTACCAACTTTTATATTAATGAATTCTTTCATGCTAATTTAAGTGCAGATATGATGTGAAATGCCTGCCACCAAACTAAATTTTCATTTGTTATACAATTTAACCTTATCTATCTTAAATGAAGTAGTAATTCAAGATGGAAGGACTAAAATATCTGAATTCAATTAATAGTTTCTTTCAGTAAACCATATAAAAGTTGTCATACACTTATGCATTCTATATGGCATTTTGTTAGTACTTATCACCTAACATACATAATGCAGCTAGCTCATAAAAAACATGTTTAAATTTTGATCTTCTGCTTGTGATTACTATATATAATATGGATTTGGTGCTAACGATATCTGAGCACACTCCAAAATGACTTAAGATAGGATTTCTGATGGCATATGAAAAGCAGAGACTTGTATGTCCTCAATCTTCAGCACAAATTCAGAATCAAGTACCAATTGAAAGTCCATCTTAATAATGAGTTAATCATTTAACAATGTTGTGCCAGGTGTCTTAACAGTAACATCCCTATATGGCCTCGTGTTTTAAAAAAAAATTAAGAGAAAGTAGCTACCTACTAATATTTCCAACCAAACCTGCTGCAAAATACTAATCACAGTGATTCTGATATCAAATGTCTTAAAATATTAAAAAATATGCTACATCTGTAAAATAAAGGCTATATTAAATTCTAAGAACTCGAGAACTGGAAGCATAGAACTAAATCCAGCTTTGTTAAACAGCAGTCCTCTTTGAGATTTGAAGCCCCTGCAAGAGTAACTCTGGCTTAGCTCACTCAGTAAGTTCCATTTGAAGGATGCACTTTGTAAGTATATTTCTGTCTGGACATAGCACACCTTTTCTCTACAGGGGAAATACCATAACCGCATGCAATACAAATAAGGTGATTTCCAAAAATATATTTGAAAACAGTTTGAAATAACAGCTGGCTAGCACACATACCTGGACAGTTGGACTGAGCACTATAGAAATATTTTGGATATTCATTTTTGTTTCTAGCTCCTTTGCAATGACATGGTCCATATGCACCATCAGCCAAGAAATCAAGAGGAAGTTACATTCTGGAAGCTCTTTCAGGAGGCGCTGGCATTCCTGCCGTTTCTCAGACTCCAGGCTCTTCCCACAAGCATCTTCAAAACGAGGCATCAGCTCTTTGGTAAGCAGGTTTTCAGGAAGTTCACGCAGGTATTGTTTCAACAAGCTAGCTACTGTGTTGGGCTCATAGTCCTCTAGGTTAGGGGATTCTTCTCGGTCATATGCTGCTTTTAACTCATCCACCTTTGATTTAATTCCTTAAAAATATTTAGAATGATTTTTAAATCCTTTGAGAATAAAAAAGAATTGTAATTCAATATTTTCTGTCGTCTCAATGAACAGTATCACTTGTTAACATTTCACTTTTCATCTCAGAACTCCAAAGAATTCACATGGTGTACCCGCTAAGGTTCTCATAGTAACCATCTATGAGATAGACTAAGGCACAAACATCAAACTCGCGGTGTCACGTTGCCGTCATGTGATGTTTTGCGACGTTTTTCCCGTTCGCAGAGCTTGGGTGGACGTGGCCTGCATGTGACACATCCGGCTCATGGACCACCAGTTTGACACCCCTAAGAGAATGGCTGATCCAGAAACTCTTCCTAAGAAAAATGGTTACATGGGAATTTGAACCTAGCTATTTCAGCAGTAATTCTATCCATAAAAGATAACACAAAATTGGTGTTAACAGTCAAAAAACCCTAAATCCTACCAAAATTCAGAGAAATACACTCAGAAATACGACTTTGCTTGCAGGATTCTATCTTTAGTTGCTATTTAAAGCTCTTCTGGTCCTCTTGAACAATACTCAATATTGGTTTTCCATCCTATCTTTCTTCTGGAGAGTAACAAATTCCTGGACCCAAATCACATATAACAATAGCAATAGCAATAGCAGTTAGACTTATATACCGCTTCATAGGGCTTTCAGCCCTCTCTAAGCGGTTTACAGAGTCAGCATATCGCCCCCACAGTCTGGGTCCTCATTTCACCACCTCAGAAGGATGGAAGGCTGAGTCAACCTTGAGCCGGTGAGATTAGAACCGCTGAACTGCAGATAACAGTCAGCTGTAGTGGCCTTCAGTACTGCACCCTAACCACTGCGCCACCTCGGCTCAATGGTACATAAGGACTGCGAGTGAGGGCAAATTTTAAAAAGTGCAATGGAAAAAAGATCTGGCCATCTTTCGTTGACAAAAAAAGGCAGAAGGAAAATAGAGAGAGACAGGATGATAATTGGTAGGAATTTCAGAATTCTCTCCATTCCTTTAAATTAGAAACTATGCCTAAAAATATTTTTTGCACATATCAGTTGTCAAAGAAGACAGTCTCTTCTTCTATGACACATATAATAATATGCGAGGCTAGCAGAAAGGGAGGGAACAGATCCCTCTAATCTTCTTCAAAGGTTCTAGACCAGGGGTGTCAAACTCGCACCCACGGGCCGGATGTTTCATGTGCTGGCCCCACCCCCGCCTGGTTTAGGAAAAAAAGGGAAAAAAGTCCTGATACGCCACATGACGCTACTGTGACGTCACAAGTTTGACACTCCTGTTCTAGACTTTTAGCAATCTACTAACTTTTATGGGCTTAACTGAAATATTATTATAATCAAACAAATTGACTTCTGTATGTCATTTGAATTTCTGCTCATGTACTTCTGGATTCTTATATGAATTTTTCTTCAAGCCAGAGAAACTTAGTTATTACTGAGAGAAGCATGCTTTCTGCTATGCTCAGGTAGCATATAAACTGCTATCCTTAAAAGATCAACCATTCTCCCATCCAATCCTATCATTTTTCTAAGCACTGAATACACATTGTCCCACTCAGTGATAGTGACATTCATATTTATGGTATTCCAGAGTAATAAGATACTATGCTTGCAAAATATTTATTTTCAGTGCAGTTTTGTCTTTATTCTCTGCTTTTGCGTTACATGAAAGTTGCTTGCATCATGTCTCTCACAAGTGGAATTGGCAATTTAAAGCATAGCTTTACAACTAAATAACTCATTCAAACCACTGTTAATTTTAAGTGAGTCAAAGTTACACAAATGATGTGAATGCTAATTATCTTGGCCTTACTACCAAGATGATTTCTTCAAATCTTAGCTAAAAATATTTAACTGCTGTTTGGCACTTTCTCTGGTTTGAGGGCACCTACTAATGAAAAGGAATTCCATCGATATTGAAGCATAGGAAGAAGACACAAATTAATGAACTGTTCTCTGTCTGCTGAAATTCTTGACAAATCGTTACTTATTAGCACCATACCTTCTTGCCCTGTATAAATCAAAATATTTGTTTATTTAGTCAATTTATATGGCTGCACACCTCAATAAATAAATGACTTTGGGCAGCTAACAGTCTTTAAAAAAACAAGCACATCTATAAAAAGTAAATATTACAGAGCAACCCAGCAAAATCATAACAACTATGGACATAGCCAGGAAATTGGCTCCTTCACATACTTGGGGTCCCAGGAAAACAGCCTCAAGGATAGATCCTAGCAGACACAGGATACAAAACGTATTTAAAAATATAAGAAACCTACTATATATATTTATGCTATTGGCCTTTATATTGCTTTGCATGGAACTTTCTGCATGGAAGACACACACACTATAAATGAGCTAAAGTTCCTCTTCATGAACTGTACTTTGCTACACTAACTCTGAAGTAATTAAACCATCCTATTGACATTTAGAACAAAATGACCAATGCAATTGCATAGTGCCCAGTGCCAATTTAAAAACCTGCACGTATCAAAAGTAGCAGATGGCAAACTATGCTATTTGGAAATCAAAAGCAATCCTGGCATCTGTAGAATAGGTTAACCAAACAAACTTTCAAAACACTTCTATTAAATAAGCCACTGAAACTTTTTAAAATATATAAATATGTTTGTGATTTGTTTAATCACAATTAAGTCAGAACTAATAATACATTTCAAGTCAGTGTAAACCCTTTTTATTTAGGGAAACACCCTAATGACAGAAATATTATGGAATTTAAAAAACCATGAAACAGCAACATCTCATCAGACACATGAAATCTACCTTCAGGTGAGCCACTGTACCTGACACTCTGTAGATGCCTTCGCATTTCATGCCATATTTTTCTACATAATCTATACATTCCCGGAACACTGCTGGTAGACGGATGCCATCATACAACATGGTCCTTTCGGCTGCATCACTCAAAGGGACTCCAAACACAGGCCGGTGACTAGGAACCTCCACTGGTGGCATTTCTACCTCTTGAACTGTTTTTTTCTTTTTCTTCTTCTCTTTCCATTGTTTGACAACATCTGCTGCTGTCAAGTCTTTTGATTTCTTCTCTTTATGCTTCTCTTCCTTGTGCTTGTCATCTTTATGCTTTTCATCTTTGGGTTTTTCTTTTATCTTAAAGTCTTTTTCCTTCTTTTTGGAGAAACTTGGCTTCTTAAAAACATGAATCCCTTTAGAGCGTTTTAGCTTAGAAGGACTTTCAGCTTCATCTCCAGAGCTATCTTCCTGAAAAGCTGCATAACCTTCCGCTGTTGGGAGTTGGGATTGGGGGTGGGAGAGGAAAAGCAGAAATAAAACCAGATGTTTAAGTTTTGCGTAAGAAAAAAAGCTAGTGCTGAACTCTAATGTGCTATTATTCAAAACACACACTTTGTTCTGCAGAACTAAACAAGTCAAATATTAGGAGTTTTGCACATTTTCCTTTCTGAGCAAAACGAGAACAGTTCATCTCTTGATTGTTTACTGACTACTACCCAGAGTTTTGACAGTAAGTGCAATCTGAATTTATTATAAATAGCAATGCAATTGTTTGATAATTCTGAAAACACCCCACTTGAATCTAATGGTATTAGATTAAGAACTGTAACTTCATCACAGAATAAAATCTTGTATCAAAGTGACTCCAAAACTGATGTAGAGTAACGGCCAGTATAAATGACACGTAATCTCCTTAGTTTAAAATCTTAAAAAGATAATGCCAAGGTTATTTTCAGCTCTTAGTTGATTTAAAAAATCAAGGAATAGGGGAAATAGTTTTTTAAAAATCTCTGTACCCCTGCAGTACTATAATTGTCATGACCCTAAATCAGTAATTAAAAAGCACATTTAAAAACAGGTGTTGAAAACTGCAAAGAATATAATTCCAATTTAACTCTTTCAATCATTTATTTTTTCTTTCTTTTTCGAATATTAAGCCAGGTATTCTAGAATAGATATTGATGTGCCCATTCTCTAAAAAGAAAGAAAACTTACTATTTAGTTGGCAAAGCCATCCCAAGCATCCTGTCTCTGTATAAACTACTCTTGCTCAAGTGGGTTATACAAACTGCATACGTGATTCCAATTCCACAGCCATAAAACAAATTCAGCTCTTACCAAATTGAATTACCAAATTCTTTACAGCCTTTGAAATATATGCATAGGAGTCTAATAACCGATACCTCCTCTATAACTAACCCTGCCTAACCTCTAGGTGGGAGTAGGAAAATCAGTTTTAAACAAATAAACACGTACACCTGCAATTAATTGCAACACAAATGCTACAATATAAAGCTTCCCAAATGTTTTCCTTTGTTACCCCAAACCACTTATCAAAAAGCCCTTTTTACTCAATGTAGGTAAAACATTTTATATCAATTTAAATGTCCCTTTTATGATTGTGTAATAGGTCTCTGTGGTTACCTAAAGAAACACCACTTTTATCCAATTTTCAGTAATTTATACAGGTTTAGAAAGCACTGATATAAAGAAAAATCAAGGAAAAGGCTGAGTGCAGTTAAAGTTTTCAGGCTGCAAAATTTGATAATTAGTATACCAGAGGAATTTACAATACAATTGTGCAGTGGAACCTCAATTTAGTATACTAACCATGGAGAGTTGGATCCATTGTTCCTGATTGACATTTAATCAGATAGCAATGTCAATGTAGTGATTTATGTTATTTGAATGATTATATCATTGAACAAATGACTTAGATCAGTGGTTCCCAAATTTGGCAACTTTAAGACTTGTGGACTTCAACTCTCAGAATTCTCCAGCCAGCTCTGTATATATACACACATACATACATACACATACATATAGATACATACATACACACACACACACACACACTATCCATTAGCATACAAAGAAATGAAAGGTATTACTTTGAGAGGATATTGTATTATTTTTCCCACATGGAAATACTTTTCACATAAAAGCTATGAAAGCTTTTCAATTTTACAGACATTTAGAAAATGACAACTGAAAAGCCAGGGATTGTCCTGGTTTAAAAAGTTCTTCAAAATATATGTTATGAAGTTCTTCATGCTTAAAGAACAGCTGGTTATTTTAAAACATTGATATCATTAACATTCATAGTGAAGTAATAAATAAAGGATAAAGAACATTTGACAAAGAAACTGGGTCATGAAAAAAAGACAATCACCGCATGCTGATAGCATACAGTTTTTCTTAAAGTGACCTACTTCTTTTCTCCTTTTTCTTAAATTTCCCTTTCTTCTTCCCATGTTCTTTCTCATCATCAGACACAATATCAGGAGGCTCATGGAGGCTGTCATGAGGTGGTGAAGGCTCATTCGTGCGATATAAACCAGGGAATTTGGTTGGGCTGATTTCTTCAGAGCTTGGGGTCCTGGCCAGACTTCCACCATGCTCTACCCTGCGGTGTTCGCTGGGACTGCTGGTGGGGGGCAGGAAGCACTCTGTCATTCTTACTCACTGGCACCACAGCAGAATAGTATCCTGTTACCTGTCCATTACTCCTGCAACAACAACAAAAAAAAAAACAATCTGAAACCCTCCAAATATTGTCAAAAAGATTTTTCAAGACACATTTATAATGTGAGCTATAAGATGCCCATTTGTCACAAATGAGCAGGAATTCATTACATTTTTCCCTATTATTTTTTATTAAATATATCAGGAAGATTTATCCAGGAAAACAACATAGCCATCACCTCATAACTTTAATTACCCCCTGGCAAATTCTCAGGATTAATTAATCCATGGAAATTCTCAGTTTACGTAATTCACTAAACCTAATCAACTGATTTAATCAAAAGAAAAGTATAATGGCATTCTTGATGAAACTGGCAGGATAAATATGTTAATCTTGTTTGTACTGTACTTACCATTATCCAAATATACCCTTCCACTTCCTGAGCATTTTATTCTTTTCCAGGCAATCCCCTTGTATTAATTTTGAAATTAAAGACTTCTTAACACAGAGTTATTATTTAGGCTAATAACAAGATATAGCATCAGGGAGGGCGTAATTTAGTTTAGTTTACTTTATTGTCATTGCACCTCACCAAATTAAATGCCATCTTCAGTGTACATCATACATAAGAAAACTATAAAAATAAAACACAAACACACATCCTTCACATTCTGTACAATTGAATTGAAAACCCCTGACACTTCATTAATATTACACTGAACAGTATAATTCAATATAGTTACTACTCTGGGATAGAAGCTGTTTTTCAGCCTATTTGTCCTTGTTTTTATTATCCTGTACTCCTCTGCCAGATGGTAATAGTTCAAAAAAAGGGTAACCAGGATGGATCTTTAAGAATGTTTTGAACTTTTTTAAGGCAGTGGAAGCTATAAAAATCTTCCAAGGAAGGGAGAGGGCAACCAATGATCCTCTGGGCAATGATGTTAACCCTCTGGAGTGCTGTCCTATCTGTCACTTGCAATTAGCAAACCATACACAGGTGTAGTAAGTTAAAATACTCTCTATAGTGCAGCAGTAGAAGGTCACCAACAATTTTTTATTCAATTGTTCTTTCCTGAGAAGTTTCAGTAGTATAATCTCTGCTGGGCACTTTTGACCAGTGCTGCAATGTGAGCATCTCAGGTCAGGTCCTCTTTTATGATAACACTCAAAAACGTAAAACTGGCCATTTGCTCCACTTGGTCTCCATTGATAACCAAGAGCTGGATGTCTGATGGTATTCCTTCTGTAGTACAATTCTGTAGAATTGTAATTCTACAATTCCTGTATATATACATAATAGATAGGCAATTAATAGGCACAAGTTCCCAAATATAATCATTCTTCCCTCAGCCCTTCAAACCACCATCATCTAGTGCTCCAGATTGTCAAAATAATAAGCCAGATCCATGTTGGGTCTCCTGAATGCCAGAACCGAGATCCAGCAAATAAAGGAAAAAGCAAGCAAGGAGATTGTCTTCGCAGTTCTTCCTTCCTTATATTGCCTTGATTCACTAGAAACGTTTCCCAATCCTCTGTAACAGTTTGTCAGAAGGAATGGGCAACTACAAGAGTCAACATGAAGACCTGCCTACCTTATCACTACTCTGATTTAAGCTACTGGTAAAATCCCAGGAACAAATGCTAATATGAAGAATAACATTTCAACACCATGTCTCTCCTTTCTCTTCTGAGATTCTTTAGAAAGATAAAGAGCAGAGGTGCTTCCAAAGTGTTTTTTCATTCCTGAATTGGATGAATATTTGTATACAGAAATTTAAATAAATACAATAAATAAATGAAATTCAACATTCCCAAACAGAACTGATGCCAGACAACAGCACAAATACAATGCCAGACAACAGCACAAATACAATGCAGCATTCACCAAATATATTAGGCAGCAACTGCTTTTAAAAGCAGATGCGTAACATCTACCTGAGAAAACATATTCTCAATTTACATATCATTTATTTTTATTCCTCCTTTATTATTTTTATGAATAACTCAAGGCGGCAAAGAAACCTAATGTTCCTTCTTCCTCCTATTTTCCTCATAAGAAACTTGTGAGGTGGGTTGGGCTGAGTGTATGTGACTGGCCCAAGATCACCCAGCTGGCTTTAACCACTAGACCAGGGCTGACAAACTCCTGGCCCACAGGTCGGGATGCATCATGTGCTGCCTACCCCTGGTTTAGTGAAGGTGGAGAAAGTCCTGATACATTACGTGACACCGCCGTGATGACGTGAGTTTGACACCCCTGCACTAGACCAAACTGGCTCTACTATATGTGTCAGTACTCCACTGGTACTTTAAAATATATTTTGAATGTAGATTATTAGGGGCTGCACCTTTAACAAATCTGCGAAGCAAAATGTCAACTCATGAAGGTTTCCTGACCTGCTCCCGAGTTGCCATAGGTAGGGGGATGAGAAATCACGCCTCACAACTGCAATTTCCCATCTCCCTGCCTGTGGCAACTCAGAAACAGGTCAGAAAAGCTTTGAGGGTTGACATCGAGGAATTCACACCTCAGTCAAAACAAAACACATCCTATCTGGCTGAAGTCAAGGCCATCTCTACGGAGACCGCAATGGCCAGAGGGAGTGACTACTATGACCTGTGAAATTGCTTCATTGGAGAATGTGACTGGTGACACACCTTGGGGGGGAGGGGAAAACAGGGTCAGAGGCAAGGTGCGAACTGGGTGAAGTCAGAACTGGCTTCACTTAGGTCGTGTTGACATGGTGCTCCTAATAAACAACTGGATTTTCTTTGCAAAATGGCTTGAGGCTCCTGATTTTAATAGGGCATTGGTCAGAACCCTGACATCAAATGCTTATATTAGATAAATGACTCCCACTCAATGGTATAACAGCAAATTAGCAATGGAGCACAACAGGCTGGCAAAATCCTGACCACTTTTATCTTCCTGGTTTCCGCATTTCGAAGGTGGGATTTATACATATGAAATAAAAATTGGAAATTCAGAATAACTACTGCAAGTGGCAGAAGACACAACAACATCGGTCTATTTAGAAACATCTTTAAAAGTGTCTGATAAGTTTGAAAGCCAAAAATAATCTCAGTAGATATTCAAGATTTTTTTTTCACCATCTTTTTCAAGGGAGTTCCTAGGCTCCAATACATCCTTTCCCTTCATGTTAATTTTAAGGTGGGATGGAGATTCATGAAGCAATACTGTATATTACACAATTATAATGCAGACCTTTAATTTTCCATTCATTTACTTCAATGGCAGAATATAGGGTTTATTTTAAGGCAAACCATGACTTAGATAGGAAACTTTTGTTTTGATTACATTTAATTTACATCCATACAGGCCAGCCTGAAAATAAAGTACAGTTTTCAACTGAAAGGATAAAATGTCTCATGTGTACAGTACGTGCTGGTAGAACAAGTTTTCATTTCAAAAAACAGTATCATGGGATAAAGATGATCAGGCAATTCATTGTTCCCACATGAATCACAATCACACTACAATTACTATTAGTGAAAGGATTTGTAATGATGCAAGTTTCACAGGCAAAGCAAATACTAAACCGCACATGATGCAAGAGGTTTCTCTGTACACCCCTTACCGTCAGGGCTAGTGATAGCTTGTTAGAGAAATTCTAAGAAGTGTGTGAAGTAAATGTATTAATCTTTCTCTCCATTGGCAATACTACTCTAAAGATCTGTGTGGCTATTTTGAAATGAAATAAAGAAAAACAGGAGCGCAAATCAAAATTCTCCTATATTTAATGCAGTCTGAAAGGAGTCTGCATTTCCAATCTGGTCAGGTTGAATAGGCTGCTAGTCCCTCTATGACTTCTAAGGCAGATACACTGCCACAATATGTTTTTATCATTACTAAACCTCAGCTGGACAATCCAAGAATCTAAGAGATTTAACTAAAGCAGAGATTTTCTACACCTTTCCTATTTTCTCTTTAAGATCTGGATAATAATATGTTCCCCCAGTATTGTAACATATGGAGAAGAGTCTCAGGCTGGGGTAAAAAATACAGTAGAACCTCGAGTCACAAACGCTTCTGACCATAACCAAATCAGGTGCCGACCAAAAATTTCACAAACTTTTTGCACCTGGTCATGAACAAATACTTGGGTAATGATCAAAGCTGCAGTGATTTTCCTTGCCGCAGCAATTTCCCCAGATGCGCCCTTTTTTTGTAGGCACATACGTAGTCAGTCTTGCTTCTGGTCATGACCAATCGGGTTGCGACCGAAGTCCTGGAACAGATTATGGTCGTGACCGGAGGTTCCACTGTACTAAGATCGATTCCAGCAGAATAAAGGTCAGAGGTCAATGAAGATCACATGCAGCAGTCATCTTCAATTTCATGATCCAAATATCACTACCACATAGTTTATTTTTGCAGCGTTGTTTTTTGTGGGGCTTTTCTCTTATAAAACACTCAAAACATAATATGGCATATTTATCTAGAAGACTGTATATCACCACCTATCTTATGAAACAACTCTAGATGGCTCATAACAATAATAATAAACAAAAGGGAAAACACAAATCTGGAATCTAAAACAACATTTTCGGATCCATCTAACAATATAAACCCGAGTCCAACCTTATTTTATTCCAACGTTCGGAAGGAAAGTCAGCTCTTTATGGCTTTCCAGAAATCTAAACCAGTGGGGTCCTATCAGATTCCTATTGTTCAGGGGAGAGGCTGTTATAGAAATGGCACGCTTCCTAAATCCCTCTGGATGGCAACACTTAAAGAGTTGAACCTGTAGCATGCTCACCCTCTAGCCTGGTAAGGAACCAGCAGGACACCACACTGCAGCAATCTAACTAAGTGACAGAGGCATGAGTGATGCAGGCAATGCCAGGAATGGATTTAAATTGTGCATCACCTGTCTTGGTAAGTGGTACCTTATTGAAAAGCAGAGACAACACACCACCAAAGTTGGTAATGTTAAAATGCTAAGCTATTCCACCTTTACTGTTAGAGACAGTTTCTCCTGGTACTGGCTCTGCAATGAAATAGCAACAGCAGATTGGATAGGGATGGAGAAATATAATTGGGCATCATCAGCCTACTGATGATGATACTGCATCCCATGTCATCAAATGCTGCTTACCAAACAGTTTCATGTACAGATTTTTAAAAAGAATGGTGAGAGACCAGAACCCTAAGCTAAAGCATCCCAGACACAGGAGCCTAGGGGCCTTCTCCCCTCACATACCAAATGGAACTGGCCACAAAGGAAGAAGCTGAACCATTGCAAAGCAATGCCTTCCAACCCTTGAACCTGGTCCAAAAGGATACCACTGTCGGTAATATCAACGGGCCCCAGGAAAGCACGAGTCAGGACAGTAGCATCACTTTTGTCTCAAGTCCTCCAGAGCAGGGTCTCCAACCTTGGCAACTTTAAATCTGGCAGACTTCAACTCCTAGAATTCCCCAATCAGCAAAGCTTTGTTGGCTGGGGAATTCTGGGAGTTGAAGTCCACCAGGCTTAAAGTTGCCAAGGTTGGAGACCCCTGCTCCAGAAATCATCCACAAGCGTGACCAATGCTGTGTGCATACTGTAACCCAGCCTAAACCCACAGAAGAAAGGCTTCAGATAATCGACTTCAAATAAGGCCTTCTACCGTAGAAAGGCAGCTGTCCTAGGTTGGAATTGACAAAAATTTGTTGAACCCAAGTATGGTCTTTGGAAAAGGGTATATATTACTGTCTTCTGCAAGATGGCTATTGATTTGGATAGGTTTAAAAGAGTAATAAATAAACCTATAAGATAAAGGTCTATGAAGTGTTATTCTTAAGACATCTAGGTAGATGAACAATTCAATACTATCTATGTCAGAGAATATCAAAGGAACCATTCAGCCACAGTTCACTTTTTCTAAGGCCTCAATCCTATATATAGGATTGGCAAATAGATAACAATCACAATAAAATCTAAAAGTGGACTGTGCAATATCTGAAGAGGGAAAAATGTATTATTTCATTTGGTAGACAATATGTATACTATGACTGCCAAGTTCCTGTTCCTGCCCTTTACCTGTCCCACTGGTTAAAGTGAAGTTCCATGTAACAGTTTCAAGAAGAAAGGAAATAATCAGGCTAATTTTGACCATACTCAGCAAATGTCTTCAAAACAAACAAAAATGTTTGCAACTTTTCTTTGCATTTTATTTTAAAAATCATGCTCCAATATCTCTCCTCCAACAGCAAGTTATCGCTCTAACCACAACATGCAACACAAAAGTAGGATGAGAATTTAAACACATGACTTTCACATCTGCTTTAGCTTGAAAATAGTTTTAGTGATAACCAAAAATACATGTAAAATTCAACATGGATGAATTTCTCCTCAAAAGGGTGTAATAAGGTAAAATGTTTGCATAATTCATACTGCTATGCAAATGAAGAAACTTGATTTAAACAATATTGGTATGGGAATGTTCTTTCTTGACTGATATTCAGATATTATCATAGCTTTAAGAAAGAAATCCAACCATGAGGCTACAGCAACCTGGAAACCTTGGTAATGTATTAACTAGGTTAAACTTTAGAAAAACTGCAGCTACTTATAATATGCTCACTCTGTGGAACCTGAGCAATTATCATTTGTGGGAGGAGGGGGGGATCTCACAACAGGATCAAGGAGGTTTTTATTATATATGCATACACACACAGAAACAAAATATTGCCTTTCCTTATAAAATTCTTCATGGTATTAACTGTATAAAGAGCAGTCTAATTCTAAGTGAAAATAACAAAATAGCTAAAGTAGTACCAATAGTAGCATGTTAGTGTTGTGGAATTCTACTGCTGTGGAGTTTTATGCTGCTAATAATTAGCATAGGCAATCTTGAATACCCAAAAAACATTGCAAGATTACACAATTTAATGAAAACCCAAGCACCAATACAAGCAATAATACAACTATTAGATTAAAAACTATAAACAATACGGTTACAACAGGGCATGTCCCAACTATGTTAATTCAATTTGTATTTTATTATTCTGAATGGATTAAAATTTAACAGATTATGAAATCTAAAGAGCACAATTAAAATACCATAAACATAAAATGCTTATTTACAATTACATCATCAAATAAAAGATTTTTTAAAGGAATTCTTTATCTATCAAAAAACCATGGACCAAGATATATTTTTCTAGCCTATCTGTGAAGAGAGAAATCTCAGAGGAGGAGGGCAGTCTAGTGTCTTTAATAATCATTGAAAAGATTCTAGTTACATCAGAACAGAAAGTGGGCCTCTAAGACAAATAACAAGCTTCAGATAGGATTACGGAAGAGATTACTATTATTAAAATACCCTTGTTCTAGACTACTTAGAGTTTTAAACTAAGCTAAACAGACAAATGTGTTTAGGACTGACAACATGGTCAACTGAACATATGGCAAGTTTCCCCCCCCCCTCCAATTTATGTTGTTGACAATTTTCAAGAGTTTTACAGTAATCTAACCTGGATAGAGTTAGAATGCAAATAATTGAAACCAATTTCATCTTTTTTACAATAGACAGCACTTGATGAATCAGCCTAAATTATTAGAAACAAACAAAAACAATATCCAGGCAACATCTGCTCAACTATCTAGGGAAAGCACAAGATATATCAGTTGATTATTAGCAATTGATCATAATAAAGGACACAGAATAGTAAAGGTATTTTTATGCTAAAATAAATGGCATATGAGACAAGACAGATGTATTCCATCATTCAGTCACCACCCATTCTGTATCTGCTACGGTAGCTATACAAAGGAAAGATAGCCCAATATATCGGAGTATATTAAAGGAACCAAAGATAACAGATGATATGCATACTTATATCATTAATGAGAGAAAGACTGGGAAGCAGTAAAAGGTTTAAGCAAAATGTAGGTAGGACAGAGAAAGGAATAAGAAAGGAACAAAGAACAAGGTATTTTCCAACAAAACATGAAATTTCAGTCTAAATAGAACATATTACCAGCATTGCTTCATCTGTTAATTTCTTCCCTATTAATTTCTCTCACACTAGCTAGAGTACCTCTTCTGCATAACAAGAACAAACAATAGCTTTGGCAGAATCAATTACATTATTTAATTCAATCTCACACTGCATGACAGATTAAAAAAAAGAGTAGGACAAGTTGCATTGTGGAGGGATACATTTTGGAATTAGTGATTGTAGGCCACAAACAAATACATACATATGTGTGAACCTTGATGTTCACACATTCAAATACAGTTTGCATTGCACATTTCCACCAATTCTTGATAACAGCAGCTGCTGTCACAATGAATGCAAATGCATACTCATAAATCAGTTTAAGAATATTCCTTTTGTTTAGAACACATAATTATTTTAAATGTGGCATATGGAAAATCTTAACAGTGGCATGTATAATTACAAAACATGTTCTTTTAAAATAGAAATGAAGTTGCTACTGGGATTCTCCCAACAATCCCTCTTCATACATACTCTGCTTGCATGCCTGTTTTTCCACCACAGAAATTAACCAGAAATAATATACAGACTAAGCAAGTACTTGTTTTAGATTACACTCCAACAAGCCTTACTGCTGCTCAGGGTGGAGGAGTACATGTCAACCACCTGATGACCATAAATTAATTACCATGCACCAGATTTTCCCTGCCTATTATTTTTTATTTTAATTAGGATGGTAAGTCTCACAACATTTACACCTAGCAAAAGATTCTGGAAGTTACAGTCCCTAGGTATCTGGAGGCAACCTGGTCCTTCTAACCAGAGCCCCAACAAGTCTCGTCCACAAATTCATCGTCGAAGTCTGATGCCTTTGAGCAATGGGGGTAGAGAAATCCGAGGGAGCAATGACATATGGCAGGCAGACTGCAGAGCATTCACTCCAAGTTTGATTCCCAAATAGAAATGCAACCTGAAAACACTGAATGTGGCACATAAAAAGCCCAGGGCAGTTGCGTTGCATCTCCGGAGGGACCCCACCACAGTCAAACATCGGAGCAAGCAAGCGGGGCGCGCGGGAAATGACAGCGCAAGTTCCAACCAGAACTCAGGGCGCTGTATGGGGCTGAGTACGCATGCGCATTCCACAGCACGCGTCAGCTACTGCCCATCCCCATCGTGGTCATTGAGGGGCGGCCTCCCTAGTCGGGAATGGAACTTCGATGGAAGAGAACCCGGAATATGGGACGGCCATGCATCCTCTTCACACTGACCTGAGGAATGGGGAGAGGTATCCTGCCGCTCGCACGACGGCTGTGCTAACTTCACCTCGTACCCAGCATCACTCAGATCCGCTCTGCACTCCAACCCGCTGTTGTCTTGCTTGCAAGGTCGGGTGTATAGGAAACAGAAAGAGGCGCATGCGCGGTCACCCTTTTCCCCGACTTTCTCGTTCTGTTTCTTCCAGCCTTTCGGCTACCTAGGTTAGAGGCCGGAATTAAGCGCGCACGCGCATGACGTACAGGGAGGGGCCGTCATAGTGACTGAGCGACCGAGCTTCCCTGGAGGATCAAAGAAGGCAGGCGGAAGGGTTGCGCCTGCGCGCTCATTCTCCCTGCTATGGTTATGGAATAGGCCAGAGCCGGAGTCACGCCCTCCTCCCTATGGTGCCTTTCGGGAAATGTAGTTTAAGTCCAAACAAGAGGGACGAGGGAATTTTGAATTGAGATTACTTGTGTGCTTGAACTACATTTGGAAATTGAGGCTGGCGAGAATGCGTTCAGGATACAGGCCCATGGCTTCAACACACCTATCTAGCTGTGTTGTGTTTTCTAATTGGGCCTTATTCCTGATTGAAGGTGCATTTAGACCAGTATTTTTCAATCTCACCTCCTTTAAAATGTGTAGACTTCAGTTCCCAGAATTCCCCACCCAACATACTGGATTGAGAATTCTGGAAGTTGAAGTCCACACACCTTAAAGTTGCCAAGATTGAAAAATTCTGAGTTAAGCTATCCAGATGGCCAATTCATTCTTACAACCAGTGCTTAAGCTGTACCCATATACTACCTGTAGTAACATTTCACTCCAAAAAGAACTAGGTGGCCTGGGCTTTTATTCAGAAGTAACATACTAGATTACTGGCAACATGATAGGCTTGGTCAGAATACAGCAAAAAACAAGAAACTCTCAGATCGTTGGTGGTAGTGCTGATCAAGAGGATAGAAAGAGAAGAGTCTTCAGCCATTTCTATCTCTTCATTTATTGAATGAAAACTAGTTAATCTGCAAGAAAACCCTACATTTAGGGCCCAAGGCCCTCAAAAACACAAAACTTTTACCTTAACTCTGTTCCTTTTTATTAATTTCTATTCACTATTTACAAGGATTGGAATGGTCAACTTGTAGTTCTCCAAATATGGGTAGTCTTTGACTTAAAACAATTCATTTAGTGAAAGAAGTGACCATGACCAGTTCTCACACCTAACAACTATCATAGCATCCTCATAGTCATGTGATCAAAGTTTGTGAGCTTGGCAATCAGCATGTATTTACAGCATCCCAGGGTCACATGATCACATTCTTTTCAGAGCTCCCAACAAAACAAATGAGGAAAGCCAGATAAAAAAGGTTGTAAAATCAGGCACAAGTCACTTAACAACTGCCTTGCTTAGCAACACAAATTCTCATTCCAATTGTGGTTGTAAGTCAAGGACTACCTGTGTATCACAGAATCCTCAGCATGGCTGAGGAGATGCTGATAGCTGCAGCTTAGCTATTTGGGAAAAACTATGGGTTTTCTTTGCTTTATGAAGTCTATCATCCAATGTTATCTATAAAATAGATTAGAGACCATCAGCCTACAACAGTGGTCCCCAACCTTTTGGGCACCAAGGACAATGGAGAGAGGTTTTTCGGTGGACCAGATGGGGCATAGTTTCATGTGCTGCCTACATTCTGTGGATGCGGCTTTGCTTGTTTGTGTGGCCTGGTTTCTGGGGACCCCTGGCCTAGAACATCCACTAACTGTCATAGCCCAAGGGAATATTAACCCAGATGTCTGTAATCATAGACCAGTATTTAATAATTAAACCCAAATGGCATTTTTCTTCTTTGTTCCTCAGCCCCACCAAACTACTTTATTCCTTAGCTCATGCTTCACATACTGTTTTACCTTCCTTCCCTCTTATTGTAGGAACTACAATCTTTTTGATATTCAATTGGTTCCTGTATTTTTGCAATTTAGGAAAAGAAGTTTGCATTAAAGTAATGTCAGTTGGGCTGAACTCAGTTATTTTTTTATTTAAACAATTGACATAGTAATGGTTCATTTTTAACATAGTTTGCTACAAGTTGTTTCCATGATGCTCATCTCTTCTACAAACAACTAAATTCCACTATTCCTTGTTTTAGCTTGATTGTATCAGATACTTTTTCAAGTATCAAGTAAAGGTTATTACTTTTCCATACAATTTGTCCTTTACAGTGAGGGCACTAGGATGTAATTCAGACTAAAGACATGTGGCTAGGTGATAGTAAACAAAGGTAAGGTAATTAAGGTTGATGATATGGAACTACCAATTGGCCACATAGTGGATATACAGACCAACTAGATGTATCTTAATATCCCATGAAGAGGCAAAGAAGCAACAGCCAAACTATGAAGACAGGTCTCGAAAAGCCAGCTAGATGGGAAGAACAAGATCTACACACCATCAATAAAGCTTGCATTTATTTTAGGTTTGTTTTTTTCTTGCTCTTGACCACTTTTTGGTTGGGGAAAAAAATCCAACTTTTTGGGGAAAAGATCAACAGCTGCTTAGTTCATTTCCACCCACCCCATTCTCCCCCCCAAGCATGAGAATACAATTAAGTTAAAATTAAAAATGTAATTCACATGCCCGGCATTCAAGCATAATCCTTGAACTTTTGAGTACTTTATTTATATGGCAGATTGCCAAATGCTTTGTCTAATCATTTCAGTTGCAACTTTATTCAATCCTTACAGAATGAGTTCTTTGTTGTAATTACGCTCCTGATAAAACAAGTTCATCCCGGGAATTTGTATGTTCTACTCAGTTTGGTGTTTATAAGTGACTTCATATTTGCAGTGCACTATATAATCACATACTTCCATTTCACTTGCTGTGTTTGAAGGTAATAGAAATTTAATGCCAACAAGTCCAGTTGTCTCCTGAAAAAAGCACCTTTGGGACAACCATGTTCTGGATGACCGAGAATCTCTACAGACTTTTAATACCAACAGTTTAAAATGGATATCATATATTCCTACCTTTTCCTACCATGTCTGCAAGGTTGCAAAAGATAACTTTTTAAAAATGTATTTCTCTAGGAAGTCATTCTTGAATTAATTCAGAAGCAGCTGTTCTTTCTTAGGAAAGCAGTAAATAATTTTTCAGGTTTTTTTATTATGCTGTACTCCCTTTTCCTGATCCTATAATCCCTTAATTCAGGATAGAGTCGGGCAACTGGATGGAGTTGACTGTTCACTGGCCAGATGCCCCTCCTGATGCCACATGGAGTTCATAGCAGATACATTTTTCTTTGCGCAGTAGGAGAGAAAAATCCCCTATCTAGGATTGAGCTCTCAACCTTTGGAGTGAGAAACAAGCTTCTTCATCACTAGGCTACCATGCCACTCTCTATTTTTTAAATTATATATATAGAAAAAAAAGGCCCAGAAATGTGTACAGTATTTATTCAACAAAATTAGACTTACATACCCCACTTACATACATTAACATTAAATGTATCAGTTTATTTAACAGAAACAAAAAGTCAGTCCAAAATTCTGACTAGTCCTCCAAATGAGACTCCTCAAAATAAAATGTTTGTTTGGGTGTGTAGGTGATCTCTTTCAACTTTGTTTAATTATCAGTGGATTGGAGTCCTGCCAGATTTGTTAGAATTTAGTAGAAGTTTTTTAAAACTGGCAAACACGCAATGAGACACCTCTTATGACCTAAGGAAAACAGGCAAGAACATGTTGATCTGACCTGATTTCTTTTTGAAATTGAATATGCTGCCATCAGTCTTTTTCCCTTTCAGGTGTTCCATAATTTGGATTTAAAATCACCCTCCCTCCCTATTTCCTGGTTATTGCTAAACTCATAGAACATACACAGAATGTTCTAGCTTCATATTGCTACACATGGACTCCTGGCCAATGTTTGCAAATTAATTATGGGAAAGAGTTGCAGAAAAAGCAATCAGCTAATGATGAGTCATTAGTTAATTCACTTGTTCATATATTCATATTTATAAATACTTTCATCCTTTTAGTCTTTTGCTGTTTAGGTTGTGATTAATATTCAACTCATCCCAAACAAGACTGTGTTGTTCTGGATTGGTGGATATCATGGTTCTGGGGACCTTCCATCTTTCATTCTAGTTGGAGTGGCACAGCCCCAGACAGACTTACTGGGACATTCTGGGGCTCGGGGCTCCTGCTTGAGGAGCAGATATCAGTCATAGTTACCAGGCCCTTTGCACAGCTGAGGGTATGCCTATTCTTAGAATGGGGGCCCTGTTCATGATCACTTCTATCCTTGTGATCCCCCCAGGTTGGACTACAGCAATATATTTTATGTGGGGCTGCCTTTGAAGTGAATTTGGAAGCTTCAATTGGAGTAAAATATGACAGTATGGGCATATATTAGTGCCAATTATTCATCACATGTGACACGACTGCTCTATGAGCTGCATTGGCTTTTGGTGTGCTCCTGGGTGCAATTCAAAATGTTGGTTTTTGCCACCAGATTATTTATAGGACTGTTTCTTCCCAATTATTTTTACCTGTCCCTTATGATTGAGCAGAAAGAGCATGCTCCGGATACCATCAGTAGGTAATAGGTTGGCGGATCCCAGAAGAAAAACCTTTTTTGCTCTGGCACCCGCTCTGTGGAGCATCATTCAATCGGAGATTAGATTGGCCCATTCCTGTTGGCCTTGAAAACTTGCCTTTTTTTCCAGCCTGGCCCTCTGGATATGGGTTAGAGCATATCTCCTCGTTTTATTGATTAGGATTAGATAATAGCTCATATCATATCTTATCCTCAGGTCTGAAGTCAGGGAGGTAAGAGAAGAAATGCAGCGGAATGAATGTTTACCAGTCAGTTTCAGTATTGGCCATTTTCCCATTTTGCACTGAGATCTTCCTTCAGTTTGGCTGCCAATTTTGCTTCTTTCATTTGGGAATTGAAACTATGGGGCGGCGCCTAGCTCTGTAGTTTTTCATCTTCCTCTCTTGCTCCAAGGAAGGAATTCTGGGCACAAAGTTCATTGACAGAGGAGACAAAATCCAATGCTGTTTTTGAGGCATTATTGGTTTTGGTAGCCAATAAATTTCTAGTGGGGAAATAGGCCCCTTCTTCAGCCTGCCACGTTCAGTGGTGGATAATCAGCAGTCACTCTTTAAAATTTTCTAAGTAATTAGAATGTTTCAAAATTAATTATTGAACAGTGATATCTGGGAAGCTGGATTAAAACCCTGCATCCATTAGGCTGGACGTCACTGAGGTCCAGGTAGCCCTTCC